TGCAGTTCTACAGGATGCCTATTGTGGTGACTTGTCACATAGTGTTCCAGTTTGCTGTCTGCTGCTGTGGTAAGCATCATGACCAAAAGCAACTCAGGGAAGGAAGTGGTTAATTCTGCCTACAATTCCAGGTCACATCCCATCAATGAAGGAAGATAAGGAAGTCAACCAGGAACTGGAGTAAAACTCATTGAGAAACACAGTTCCTGTGTTCACACTCAGCATGCTTTCTTACACAGCTTCATAACTCCCGGGGAGGGTTACACCTTCTGCCATGGATTGAGTCCTCTCATATCAATCAACAATCAAGACAGTTCTCCACAGACTTGGCCATCGGTCAATTTCATTTAATCAGTTCCCTCATTTGAGACTCTCTCTTCCCAGGTAACTCTTAGTTGTGTCAGGTTGCCAATAAAAACTCACCAGGATACATAGCAATAAGAAAATATTACTTTCTAACCCCAAATATATGCATGACTCATGGGATCCCTTCTAGTAATTTCCAACAGAAAGGCACAAGCATTTCTAGCCAATACATGTACTGTTGCCTATTAGTATCTACTGGGAGCTGCTGTTAGCATTCCTAGTGTTCACCTAAATCTCAAATACTTGATCCCTTATATAAAATTGTGTCTGATTTGCATGTAGTCAACACATATACTTCTGCAGGTACTATAAATAATTTCTATTTACTTATAGCTCCTAATGCAGTGTAAATGCTATGTAAATAGCAAACAAATTTGGGAAACATAACCATGTAAGAAACATCTGTTCAGTTCAGATGTACCTTTGGTTTTAAAACATTTCCCACCCATTTCTGGTTGAGTCTGCAGATACAAAGCCACTTGCCTATGGAGTGCCAGCTGGACTTGATATCCCCCAAAGCAATGTTTATGTTTCCTAACTTAGAAGTACCCAATGAAGCAATAGGGGGCCTTAGGGTTTCTAGTAGTAATTCTTTCTTGACTTCAGTGCTCATGACACAAATGTGCTCATTTTCTAAAAATATTAAATTATGTTCTCTCATAAGTTAAATTATACACCCATAAAGTACAATGATCCAAAATTTGTTTTTATTACCTTCTAGCACAACTTTTAGTAGATTGCTTTTAGAATTGAAAAATATTCTTACACACATAAAAATGGTCATGAAATGTCTCTTGGGAAAGCACCCCAGGGTTAGTCCTCCATGGGTAAGAACCTAAATCCATTACAATAAAAACGAAAGTGCCTAACAATGCTTAAAATCTTAACTCTTAAAAGAACTTAACTGTTTCTTTATTTTGCCCAACATTCTCCCACCCACAATTGGCTGATTACTTTGATAACTAATTTTTATTTTCCATTTCAGGAAAATCAAAAACCATGTTCTGAGAAGTGGAGGTGTTATTTGGAGTCAGTTTTGTCACTACCTAGTCTTTCAGACATAGCATCTCAGATGGACATGTTTTGGGGCGAGGACCAGGGCAAAATAAAACAGAGAGAAATTAGACATGTATTATACTCCATAAGTATTTACTAATGATCTTTTAGTGATGAAATCATTAAATCATGAACAAAACCTTTCCCAGGATTTCATGCCCAGCACAGCATGTGCCATCAGGGGTAGGAAAGGGCAGACTATCAAAGTTTTTCTCTTCTGAAGAAACATACAGATGTGCACAGTAGTCAATACCATATGCTCACATATCAACGCCAAACAAATGGTTATTATAGCAAAAGTAAGAAAGGAAGGAAAGGGAAGGGAACTTTTTTCATATTTTCAAAATGGTGCTCCAAAGCACTGTTCTTGACAGTCGGGGACGACTTCCTGGAGGCAGCTTCTAGCCAAGTGAATTTAAATTTATATTTTGGTTACCTGTTTGCCAACATTAGGCAGTTACTTAATACCTTAGAGCTTTGAATTTCATCTGAGGACTAGGATTGATGCTGACATTTCTATTCCTTTTGTGAGGTTAAGCGATGACCTATAAGACAGAAGGCTACCCCCACCTGCATTGTTGCCCCTTCCTATGTATGAATAATCAAATCCTGAGACTCTTTCATACCTAACACTGATCAGGAGAAAGCCAGGAGGCTACTAAAGCTCAGAGAAATCACAGAGAGGGATGTTTTGGGGCTTAAAATACAAAACAAATGACAAAAGTTGGGACAAGTACAGACCAGTACAACCAGAGCAAGAGAGAACAGTGCCTGGGAAAGAATAATAAACCAGGCTAATAAGTTCTCTAAGGGCTGTGGAGCACAGCGGTGTGCTGGTTAAGGTGAGGGAGTCAGCTCTGAACACTTAACTGCCCAGTGGAAAAAAAAACCTGCCTCGCTTTCACTTATTTACATGAGTGATTGAGGACAGGACAGAGGCTACCAGCTGCCCCTGACTTGTGGATGTTTGGAGAGGGAAAATTCTTTATGGCTGTAGCATCTGGCCAAGATTTAGGTTCAGGTCTTAACAAATCAACAGCATGTGGATCCAAAGAAGGAAAAGAGGGCTTGTTGGAGGCAGGGATTGCACTATGAAGTTTTTTTTCAGGCAAAGGAACCTTGTTGTACACTGATTAGTTCTTGAATATGCATCAGAGCAAAATCTCAGGGTTTGGATAGGAGGTACTGCATGAGAGGGTAGGGAAAGATAATGAAAGAGACAGTCAAAGGGAAGCTTGCTCTTCACAGATGGGAGTTTTAGCTTTGCCTTGCAATACAAAAATCAGCGGGGGAGAATGGGAAGAAATAATCAACTCCCCAAGGGCATGTGTTCTTTGGTTCAAAGTCTACCCAATACTTTGCCTAGTGTCAATTTCACCACCGCAACTGTTAAATTCTCTTTGAGGTATTCATTCACATCAGAAAAAATAACTATATTGAAAAATTGAAGAGATGACCCATTATCAGACTCAGCTATTCCAACCTTTGATTAAGTTTTTAGTATCCTACGGATGTGTTTTCAAAGGGGAAGAAAAGGAGATGGAAAACCATTGTGGCAGGGTCTACCTTCTCTGTGAGATGATGCCCACAGGTAGTGTTGCATGGGCTCTGAAGATTTAAGGATCTTGCTGCCTCATCCCTTCTCAGCATACCCCAGGCCCACAAATCCTCTCAACACTCAGCAAGGGTTTTCTAACAACAGAAGTACTCTTATAGTTGTTGAGGCGATTAAGTAGAATATATGGGGGAGGGCTGGAGAGAGAGCTCACATACAGTTCCCAGGATCTACATGGAACAGTTCACAACCTTCTGTAATTCCAGCTCCAGGGGATCTGATGCCTCTGGCCTCTGCTAGCCTGTGTATACACCCCCCCACAAAATTGATAATAAAATAAATCTTTTTTTCCAAAAAGGAAAGTACGTAAGGACTCTGACATATGAAAGTTATCACTGTCAGCTATCAGCTAACAATAATCACTCATATCCGATGGCGCTAGGACCCTGGGTCTTGCCAATTTGGGGCGGGGAGTTGAGGTGAAGAGGGTTCACTTGTTCCAGGGTTGGATGTCACTGGAAACAGTCCTAGTTAGAGAGGGCAGTGGACTGGACTGCTCCATTAGCAGGAATCTGGTCTCCCTTGCTCCACCCACACTTCTTTGGAGCAACTAGTTCTCTATGTGTGAGCCCCGCCCGCGCACCACCCGCAGACCCGCGCCTCCTCCAGGACCTCTGGGAAACTCACTGCCAAACCCAGCTGTGGTGAAAACGCTCCACTGCACTGGTAAGTGGAGGCGGGAGAGCCCTGCGCTCCTGACGGAGTCTTCCTGGTGGCTGAGAGCCCGGTGAGAGGCATAGGAAGTCCGGACAGAGGAGAGGAGCCTGTGCTGCCCTTCCAAGAAGAGAGCCCGCTGCTCTTTCAAGCCTGTTTCCTTGTGGATACCAGGAGGGAGGGGATGGGGCCTAAAACTCCATTGGCGTCCTACCTGTCCACGGGTACCAAGCTGCATCTTTTGACCTTCCACTCCCGCCTCCCCCCCGCCTTCTCAAAAACCCACTCTCCACCAGCAGTGCCAGGTCTCCTAAGGACACTCCAGATCCAGATCTCGGACACAGATATTTCGCAGGAACAACAAGCGGGTCACAAATGTCCCCGGCCCCGTCAGGAGCATTCTTCTCCTCTGTTCCCCCTAGGACGAGTATCCTAACTTCTCCCGAGGTGGCCAGTGGCACCCGAAGCTCGAAACCCCATTCAAGTGCCTAAAGAGTTCAACTCGGACTACTTAGAATGGGGATCCCCGTGTTCCCCGGGAAAGCCATGCTGGCTGCCCATGTTATCAGGAGAGGACACCTCGACTTCTCCATGGGGGATACCCCTCAGTACCCATCTCTCTTGGCGGCCGGCTTGGTGGCTTGGTGTCCCGCAGCAGCGAATTAAGAACTCTACAAACAAGAGTGAGCTTTAGAGGTTGGAGGTCGTGGGAGGGGGCCAGAGAGCAGAAGTTCCGCACGGGTTTTGGAGAGAGAACCCCATCCACGTTTCTAACTCAGAAAGCTCTTTTCCGCGGATAAAAAGCAGAGACCGAAGTCGTTAGGAGGGAAGTCCTCTAGGCGTGGGTCGGAAAACTGGGGTGAACTGCAGCGCTCAATCTTCGAGCCATGTCGGTGGGAAACTATTCTTCCTCCGGGGTGTGGGGGCGGGGAGACTTCCCTGGCAAAGCAATCGACGTCAAGCCCAGCTGCTCTGGACTCTATCCCTCTGTCCCCAGGCAGCCTAGAGAACTTGGTACCTCGGACAGCAGCCCGGGCGCACAGCATCCTTTGCAAGGTGCGGTCCTATTCACCCCCTCCCGCCTCCCACCAAGTCAAACACTAATAAATTACTTCGCTGACCTTTCTAATACAGATGAAGGACATTTTAATTACATAACCCACGAAAGATCACCGGAGGCAATGTCGTGTTTGAGAGCCCATGGCAGAATAGCTGCATAGCATGAAAAAACTTGCAAATCTGCAACGAGATTGCGCAAGGCTGTCCCTCCTCTGGAAACAACATGTGAAATGCATGGGAGAAATCTTACCTTTCGGACTCCAAAGCCGTGTTCTGCTGCAACTTGGCGAGCCTCTTCCTCTCCGTCTTTATGCAACTCCACAAGAAAATGATTCGTGAAGACGGGTCTCTCAGCAGACGCAAAAACCAGGACACAGAAGAGGAGCCCGGCCGCCTTCCACTGGGATCCACAACCGCCCTCCATCCTTCTTTGGGAGTGAAAAGTGGGGCTTCGAAGCGCGCAGGCGGGTGGAGCAGGGTACGAGGAGGGAAGGTACAAATAAAAAATAGGAATGTAGTTTTTGTTTGTTTTTCTTTTAAAAAATCTTTATATAGCAAAAGAGGCAAAAGAGAAGCTTGGCAAACAGCAAATCTGTGCGCTGTCCAACAGCAGCTGGCTGCCAGAGAAGCCGTGGAGTCGCGCAGCCAGGCTGGCTGGCAGGGGTGCGAATGTGCGGAGCTATGTGTACCCGAGAGAAAGAGCTAGTGTATGTCTGTGCTTGATGCTAAATCTGCATTTTCAGCTCCTCCTCGGCTCCAATTCCACAGGGCTGGAGGCGAGCGCCAGCCCGAGTGACGCGCGCCCGCCAGAGGCCAATGGAGGCTAGAGGAACCGCGGGCCCCGCCCCGGGCCGCCCCGAGCCCGCCTCCGCCCGCCTCAACCCTCCCCCCGCCCAGCTGGCTGCCTGGGTCCCCGGGGGCGCCGCTTGCCCGCGCCCCCGCCAGCCCAGAGCGCCTTTGCTCCGCCCGGCCGCTGTTCGCCTAGGAAAATCCCCCCCGCTGCCACCCGCGGCCGGCGCCTGGTGATGTCATTGTTTGTGGAAATCTGCACAGCTCCGGGAAGGGAATTACGGTGCGTGCGGCTGTGAGAAGCCCCGAGGGGAGCGAGGGCCCCGGCCGCTCCCTGTTGCTCTTCTTTACTAGTCTTCAGCTACAAAACAACTCTCCTCTCTTTTCTCTCTTCCCTTCTCTTATCTCTTCTCATTTGTTTCTCCTCTTCTTTCCCCTCCCATCTTCCTCCCTTACTCCCAATAACAAAGCGAATTTGATCCTTCCCGCCCCCTCCACTTTGGGCAAATCCTAGGCTGGAAAGAGCATCCTTCCAAGGGTGACTCAATGGGGCAGGAAGGAGCATGTCTCCTGGTTCTTTTCCCCATGCTCCAAGCAAGTCAGGAACTAAACATCTGGCAGTCCAGCGGATGTCCGGGATGCCCACTTCCCAACCTGTGATGGTTAACAGAAGAGACTCTTCTTGAGTCAGCGATGCATCTGCATCCCAAAATTGCCCAGAAGGGGAAGGTGTGATGCTCATGCTGGGAGGCAGATTTTTAGACTCTGGAATTGCAACTGCATCAGGACCCAAAGGAGAGTTTAAAGAGGTGTAGTCATCCATCCCAGGAGCTGGGTCAGGGTCCTGCTAATATCCTTGCCTAAAGGATAATCCAGGTTGAGTAGGCACGGGGAGGGGGGCGGTGCCGGAGGAAGGGAGGACGGACAACAGGACAGTTCAGTGAACTGCTGGGGTCTGACTTCCCCTTTTTGCTCCAGTGTGAAGAAGTAGACCGGTTCTGCTGTAAGAAAATGGAGATGATTGCTCTAAGTAACTTAAGTATTGTTAAGGAGTATATTTACCTTGTTTATCTCCCAGCACCAAAATTCAAAATCCTGCCATAAATTGGATAATTAGGAAGATGCATTAGATGCATTTTCTTAGGAGAGAGAGAGAGAGAGAGAGAGAGAGAGAGAGAGAGAGAGAGAGAGAGAGAGAGAGAGAGAGAGAGAGAGAGAGAGAGAGAGAGAGAGAGACGAAAGGAGGGAGGGAGAAGAGAGAGAAACTGAGTTTGTAACATTGACACACCATACCACACCTAACCACACCCACTCCACTCTCCCCCTTATTATCACAAAAATCACGATCTAGACATGAAACACAGGACTGGTGGACATGAACATGAGCATAACACACAAGGCACAGTGTTGTCACTGGCAAAGCTGTCCCCCAACATTGCCAGATACGTGTAAGCAGACCTTGCAAGATGGTTTTCATCAAACTGTAGTCTTTAGCATACCACATTGTCAAATTTGTTGAATTGCTTTAAGAAAATCAAGCGAGACATCGAGAAGGTGCAGAGAGCATTCCAGAGGGGAAGCAAGGGATTTTAGGAAATTGCTAATGAGATGACAGATCAACCTGGCAGTCTCAATTTGGAGCTGCACACACCAGCCCATTTCTGCCAAGAATGGTTTATCAGCACGCTGTGTCTCACCACCCATCCGACTGTAACTCAAAATTTCCTTACCCAGAGGCCTCCAACTCTTTTTCTGCTTTTGTCTTCCTTACAGTTCATCCATATTTTGAACTAAAGTCCTTGTTTCCTGTGAAGAAGTAACCACATGTGTCCTCCTGTCCCGTATTATCATTTGAGAAAAACAGCATTGAATGTGAGAATTGCATTAGATAAATTCACCATTGGGGGAGAATATTTCAAAACCAGCAACTGAGATACAAATCTAAGCCTTTAGAAAACAGATCTGAAGAGCATCAAATAAGTCAATTTAGAAGATTATAGGTGCTGGGAAATAGCAGTGCTAATGTAGCTAAATCTCTGAAATTACCATCTATTTAGATTATGTATTAATTTTTCTGGAACCACTGAGTTATGCTTCATTTCCTAAATCAACTCCAAAAATGAAATGCCAGTGTGTGCTCAATCTTCTACACATGGTTAATGCTCCCTGAGATTTCTATAGATATTTGATTCCCTTGGTGGTGCTTGTGGGTAGTGGTGGGGCTGTTGAAATGTGGCTGGATCATGGGCATTCTGCCCTTATGAGTGGTTTTATCTATTTATAGATTAATGAGCTATTGTGTCACAGTGGAAGTGCCATAAAAGTAAACTTGTCCTGGGTAGCTTTTATTATCTTGCCATATGATACTCTCCAATGTGTTATGATGCAGCAAGAAGCCCTTACCAGATACCAATGTCATGCTTTTGCATTTCTTAACATCCTAAACTGGGGGATCAAGGAATCTTTTAGAAAGTGCAGTTTTGGGCAGTTTGTTATAGAAACAGAAAGTGAACTGAGGTGCAAGTCCACATTTTAAATAATTAAAGCTATAAAACCAGGCACAGTTTGAATAAACATGGATACCTGATTGAAGTCTGTTATCTTTTAGTAATATATATATATATATTGTAATTATATATAATATATAATTTGAGTGTCTTATCTGCATGTATATATGTGCACCATGTGTGTATCTGCTGCCTGTCAAGGTCAGGAAGAAGGCATTAGACCTCCTGAAATTGGAGTTATAGACAGTTGTGAGCCACCATGTGGATGTTGGGAATGGAGCCCAGGTCCTCTGCAAGAGCAATAAGTTCTCTTAGCTGCTGAGCTAGCTCTCCAACATCATGACGTCTGTAGTGGTTTATAGTGCATAATTTATCACAATATTCTCAGTACAGCAGAATGAAAACAGAAGTTTTGTGATGCAAATGCTAAATTTTTAATGCACTCTGGTACCGTAAGCCAGTGGAGGAAATGCACTGAAATATTTGATTGGCATTTGAAATGTAAATACACATTCATGTGTGCACAAATTTACTCTTCTAGAGAAGAATTATTGCCCAGACTCTTTTCTGATATCAATAGATTTAGACAGTGAAAGCCAAAAGGAGAGAGAGAGAGACAGAGGGAGACAGAGAGAGACACAGAGAGACACAGAGAGACAGACAGAGAGACAGACAGAGAGAGGGATAGAGTGGCAGCAGCAAAGTGACCCAGAAACCGTGCTAAGGTCTGCAGTGGTTGTTAGTGGATGACACTTGGGCAAAACCATTGAATCTTTCTAAGCCTGCATCTCTCCATCTGTGGAAACTGAGTTTAGGTGTCCTCTGTAACCCAAACTATGCTTTTGTAGATACTAAAGCCCGCAGTGCGGTGTGAAGCATCACAGGTCCAGGAGTGGTGATGATAGGCAATGGCTAAGATAGTGCTTTCCACAAACCTCCCCCAACCTTTCTCACATACCTAAGTTTGTGGACTTGAGAAAATAACTGACAAGTGTCGACAGTCAAAATCAGATATGAAACTCATCAAGATCTTGGAGTTCTTTCCATTTATTTTCTCTTGTAGTTGTAGCAACAACAGGGCTAATATGTGCCACCAATACCTATCTTCTCATTAAAGATATCTTCAAAGAGGAGAGTATTTCCATTTCACAGCATCTGCCCCCCCCAAGCACACACATGCCACGCTCTCATGAAGACACACACACACACACACACACACACACACACGGTTACATTGGCATTTTTTTCATCAGGTGTATTCAGATTTCTTTAGGGGGAAGACTTTGGATCCACAGACTATCAAGGAAAACCTTGCTGCTGTGCTGGGGATGGGGAAGAAGGCAAACCAGAGTCATCCCTATGAAGGATTTCTGGACCTGTTCATATTGTTTGGATCACTGGAAAAGATACCCAGTTTTGCTTTTGATTTCTCTTACACAGGCTGTGATGTAAGCATGCATATATAACTTAAGGAGATGATTTAAATATAGTTCAGATTGAGTCTAGACAGATGGTGCATGTCTTTAGTCACAGCATTTGGGATCAAGGTAGGACAACCGTGAGTTTGAAGACTAATCTGGGTTACAAAATATGTATCTCAAAAATGCACACAATCTTATTTAAACCAATTTGTGTTAGCATTTTTGTGGTATCCATCTTGACACTTCAAACAAAGCATCGATACTTTCACTTGGCAGCATGAATTTTCTATTATCACACAGTGCTGCTGTGTCCTGCTGGTAGGCTCTTCCCACCTTCTCTACCCTTTCTGTTTTCAAAACACCTACCCACACTCAACATTCCTCAATGTTATTTCCTCTCTATGATTCTGCCACATTCTGATCTCAACACTGAGTTCCATTCCCCAGTTGATCCTTATATTTCAAGGTGGCACCACATTTTCCGGTGGTGTAAATCCTTTTGTATTTGCTGTGATGTAAGATCCAAGTGTTTGACACATTTAAATCACATCCTAGGGTTATACTCATTCCTTCATAGTTAGTGGAATTTGGTTGCTCTTATCACCAACTCCTATATCTTTTACCAATTTAATGTTTTTTTAATGATTTTTTCCACAATTTGAGAATCTTCAGGTAACCTTTGTTTTATAAATCATCTTAAATTAATACCATGGGGAATATTAGTGGAAATTCCTCAAGTGTTTTACTGTTATGAAAGCAGTCAGTCTAGACAGTGTTAGGCGGTGTTTACCTTGTAACTCCTAATAAATCATCAGATTTATTCAGACTAATCAACTCTTTCATAAACAAAGTGTTTCTTGCTTTGTTATTCTCCAGGATGTTGAAAATTTGTTTCTTCTGCTAATTTAGCTTCTATTATTTTGATAGGATTTGAAGTAGATAAACAATGAGGATCAAGGGTCCTTTTAATCTTCTTTGGAAAATTAGAAACACATTGCTATTTACTGTTTTTAGATTCCTCCCAGGTCTAGAAGACTATAGAATAATGTTTGCTCACTTGGAAAAATTAATTAGTTATTTCTCAGGGCTCATTGGAACATTGCTATTGTCTATAGAGAGTGATTATCTATTCATGAATTCTCCACCTGTGTTGGTACCCCTTTCTTTCTCTTGATCTTTAAAGAAATACAGGAAATCTTCCATAATCCACATTTTGAGGGGTTATGGAAATTGTCTTTAATAAGGAGCCTTTGCTTGTGAGTCTCAAGTTACCTATATCAGATAAATAATTCACAGGGAACAAAGTGACTTGTTAGAAAATTTAAAATGGGATAATAAAAGAAAAATCTTAGATAAAAATAAAAGCTCACACATAAGTTTCTGTAAGATAAACTCTTGCATAGTGTTTTAGGATACTCTTGACTTTGGCCTGAATGTTTTAAATGCTCATACATTGTCCATAATCAATATGCATGATCAGTCAGAGCACACATTTGACACCTAATGTTATATGACATGTTGAAAGAACAGTTTCAGCCTTCTGATTGTATGCTCAGGTACACCATTTTTATGTTAAAAACATTATATCCTATCATGATTGAAGAAACGTGACATGGTCTAATTTGGAGAACAATATCTATTCTATCTTCTTAAACACTGAAGAGAATGAAACAAAATCACATCCTTACAAACAGATATCTCTAGATCTGGCCCAATCTATAATAACTTTGTAGGTTTATCTTCTCATTCATAATTCTGTTCAGGGCAGGAAATACAGTTCAGGGGTAGAGCAATTGCCCGCCATGCATAAGGTCCTAGGTTCACTGCAAGAAAAACAAACATTTGTACTAAAAGTCTGTTAGTGTAGAGCCTGTTCAGAATGTACTTAATATCTCCTATCCAACTTCTCATCAGGACTGAACCTGCTTAGTTTCCAAGACTGAATAAAATAAGACATGTTCAAGGTGGTATGGACATAGAGAAGATATACTTAATTTCTACCAGTATAGCCCAAACACATGAACTTTTGCTGGAAGTTACACTTATGAGTGGTTTCGTTGTGGAGAGGTTCTATGTGGATCACAATGATAATCAAAATAGTCACAACCCCTTAAAATTAATTATTTCCTGTAAAAATCCAATCCAGGGGTGGAGCTTCCTTTGGTGTAAGGTAAAGGTTTGGCTGTGCCTCCAGTTAGCTAGGGTTAGTGGTTCTTGATCCCCTATCTCCATGAAACTGAGTCTGAGTTGCTCCATTACATTACCAATACTTAGCACCCAAATTTGTGTGGTTTACATTCCTCACCTAGTTCGTAAGGTCACCTGAGTTTGTGATTTCTAGTTTGAGCAACCTATAAAGTTGTACTTCATTCTTCCCCAGAGGATTTTTTTGTAATATGTTCAACTGAACATATTCAAGTGACATGTACATAAAGGTACATTCTCTCAATTATTAAAAAGTTATAGATGCATTAAACTTAGACTTCTAAAATACAAACCTTCAAAGAAAGGCACATTGTCCATATCTGATAATACAAAATAGTCATGTTGGTATTGTCTTGTTGGTTGGTAACAATGTTTGCAATGTCTAGCATTTTGCTGAAAGACCATCCACAGAGGAATTACAAGAGATAAAATCAGGAAGTATGAGCAGCGTGAGATACTCATTTACAGTATAAGTCTATCTGCATCCATTAGATGTTAGAGTGGCACAGAGGGGAGAACCTGATGCGAAGGCTTACTGGACCTCAGCATTGTGTCATCTTATTTGTTAGATAAAGTAAGTCACCTCACCCCTAACTCCATCTAAGATCATGTTTAGAGCTAATAGTCACCCGGCCCTGCCCCTACCATGTATCTCATACCTCTTAAGGTACACTGACTACAGGAGCACGTGATAGCGCATGAATCAGAGGTGTAGAACTATACAGACTGGATCAGTCTTAGCTGGATCAAGAGAGTTTTTCTTCTTCTTGAGTGATGAGCAAAGGGGCAAGACAATGATGATGAAACCCACAAAGACAGCTGACCAGATAAGGGGGAGCTCTTGATCCCAGACTGATGGATGAGAGGCCAGCGGGGGCCTGATCCAGACTCCGTGAATGTAGTGCCAGAGAGGAGGCCACAGAAATCACCAGGGCCTTAAGTAGTAGATTAGTGTTTACCATGGTTTATGAATGAGCTTTGGGAGCCCATTCCAAATAGAGGGATGCCCTCTCAGCCTGAGCACATGGGGAAGGGCCTAGGTCCTGCTTTGGATGAAATGACAGACTTTAGAGATTCCCCTGCTAGGAGGGCCTCACCCTCCCTTGGGAATGATGTGGAGATTGGGTGCGGGGCTGGGAGACTGGTAGAGGGACCAGGGAGGAGGGGTGGGAGAGGGAGCTGGGACTGACATGTGAAACATTCACGTTCTAATATATTGAGAGAAAAAAAGAGTATTTTCCTCTGTTTTTGGCATAATCGTAGAGGAAACAGCTTTCTTTCGTCCAATAATGTTTACAAAGTTTTGTATTGGACAGCCCATTTGTGGCTTGACTTATAGCATATAACCAACTCTTTGCTAACTGCAGGGTCCTATGGTTAACATCAGTTATTTGGATAGGCCTGCCTATGGTGCATTTCCTTGAAGTAGCCTCCAGACTCCAGCTTCACTAAACACAAGAAATGAGAATATAAAATGTGTGCTTATACTGAGGAAAAAAAGGGGGCTTTTCCCTCCAGGAGGATTAAAAAATATTAGGACAACAGAAACCATGGCTGTCCTGACATCAGTTCACCATACAGGTAAAGCTTTGGGGTAAAAGACAATTTACGGTACAAAACTACACTAAATGGTGTTAACTAAAATCAAGCTTAAGGTGTATAAATGGTCTATTTCTCCACCTCCACATCCTCTCTTTGTTGGCCAGAGGGAACATCATTTGATGTAGTGGGTCTTTGTGGATGGCAAGAAGAATCATTACATCCTATGGACTCAACAGCCATTGTAGTCCTTAGTCAGCAGCATGCCACTAACTTATGCCTGATGACTTGTTGATGAGAGGTTTTCTTGGTATATTAGAGTATTAGCCATACCCAAATTAAGTTTAATTTTCATAAGAGGAAGCCATTAGTCATTTACTCCATGACAGTATGTAAATGGCAGGATTCAAACGATGATAAAAATAAAAGCTAGAATGTGTCTTCACATTTCTTTCACTGGCAAAGAAAGGAAGAAGGACTCCTGTTCCAAGTTCCACATGAGATGGCAAAGTCATCTCAGTTTTCACCACTGCCCACAGTACTTTATGCATAATTACATTGTCTCTTCAAGGTGCCCTTATTATTTCTCCTCTCATTTTCCAGGGAGACATGTACAAGGAGGAGCTGGCAACTGTCCTCAGCAAGAACAGATGAATAAATAAGGATCACGAGCGTTCGTCTTTTAGCTGAGGTGATTTGTCAAAAGCCACAGCACTGTGGCAGTCCTTTGATTTTAAGGATTATGCTCAACTTCAATCAAGGATAATTTTAAAAGCTAAATCAGAGAGTAGATTGAAGAACAGATTTTGGTGAACGTGAAGTGACCTGTTCAAATATGGAGCTGAATATATTGGTCTGAAGGCATTTCATTTTTGCCAAGGCATTAAACAATGGGGAAGTTATGTTGCTTAATTTGCAGTGTGAATGGTGTTGAGAGAGGGATCCCACAGAAAATATTTGTCTTTGATGCTTGAAAAAGGGCACAATGAAAGAGGGCAAGATACTGGAGAGTCAACTCCATGCTAGAAGTATCAGCTAGTGAATATTAGACCAATTGGGCTCAATAGTACAATACAAATTTACACTCTTTTAGTGATTTTTGACATGTATTAGTCATGTGGACCCAAATAATATTATATATGTATAGATATTTCTGGGATTTTACTCCATTTTGTGCTGTTCCTGGAAATCAACTGTTATGGACCACATACATTAGACTCCTTTTTCTATGGTTTCCTATTGAATTCAGACAACAGGACAAACTCTTTCAAAAGTAGAGACTAGGAAAGAGTAGTTCAGGGTTCTCTTGTTCCATATTTGACCCTTAGTGGCTCAGCACATGGTCCTTTACTAAATGTTGGATTTTTTTTCTAGGAGTCTTAAAATCTCATTAACCACTATCTTATTTCTTAGGACCTATAAGAACAATGGGACCAATGCATTGCTAATCTCTGAAACTTTGCTATGCTTCATTGCATTTTCTTGATCCCTTTAATGCCTTTGTCAGTGACTTTATCTACATGCATCATTTATTACTTGCTATCAGCTAGGAAATTTCCTGTAAAATATAGAATACATATACATTAAACCTTATTATGAATATAGTTACAGCTTCCCAGTTGGAAGACTATATTTGCCAATATAAACAAAATGGGGAAAATAACACAACATGGAAGAATAAATGTAAAAGAAATAGTCGTAGAATCTTATTAAGAGGTAAAGGGAAATGAGAAAGTCAGAAATTTTAGGACATCTCCAGAATCAAACAACTAGAAATCAAATTGGGAAAGTCAGATAATTGGGCCAGGTGGAGAGGGAGGGGGCAGAAGGAATTACTAGGAAAACAAAAACAAAACAAAACCCCAAATGAAACCAACTAAACAAACAAAAAAGCCCATAAACACCACCACTACAAGCCAGGAAGAAGAGGGCTTAAGGAGTTGGTGAAGCATCCTCCTGGAGAGTATGAACAGTGTGGTGAGCTCTGTCCGTGGTGCTGACTACCCACATCCTGAATTTCGTGTCCTCTGGGAGCATGAGCTCAGTCTTAGTGACTGATATGTCTCAGACTGATTTGGAAATTCCTTTACACTAGGGGCAGTTTCCAGAGACGCCAAGTACACAAGGCTAAAGAAGATGGGGAAGCATATAATTTATCTTTCAGCTCTCACAGTTTGTAAATGATTGATAGCAGCATCAGTGCCACTGGCAATTGAGCTGAGCATATTACCATGCTAAAACAATCTGCCACGAAGATAGGTACAGATATGAGAATCCAGAGAAGCAGCTTCAAAATAAAAGGTTAGGGCAAATTAACCCTTATCTCACAGATGGAAATAGTCTAATTATTTGAATAAATATATATTCATAGAATTGAGATTTCTTTTTTCTGATTCTTCAATTACATTGTCCTGTTTCAAAACTGAAGAAAATTGTTATAAAAGGTAAAATGCAAGCAAGTTTGTTGGTACAATAAATGATATTTGGAGAGTTTTGGAAGAAATTACAACTTAAACTAAGACTTTCCTTTGTTCTGTTATTATTCTTTATAGCAACAATGACCAAGAGGGATGCATAGTCCCTTTCTTCAAATTATTTCAATATTATTCAAATTATTTTCTGTTCACACTTAATCGAAACAAAATGCTACTTCTAGAAAATATCAAATATATAATCATTGAGAAATCTTAACCATCTGGAAATTTTGCAGTGCATTACAACTCTGGTATGAAAGGTCTTAAGTTTTAAATGTAGGATATAATACAGTGATATCATTGCAATAACTTGGAAGGCTTAATTCTCATTGAATTAAGGTGAACTCATATGAAGATGGAAACAGGATCCTAGAATGAACTGTAGAAATGAGGGGAATATTATTATTATGATACTATAAAATACGATCATGAATTACCTTGCCAGGTTAGTTTGTGATCAAGTTTTTAAAAGACCACACAAAACACACACCACAGCCACCCATCCCCACACTTCCACCACACATCCCTACACAGTACACATGCACACACCCACAACCATCCCCACACCTCCCACACCCCCCTCCACACACATACACATGCACACACCCACAGCCATCCCCACACATCCCTCACACCCCTCCACACATATACACATGCACACACCCACAACCATTCCCACACCTCCCACACACCCCTCCACACACATACACATGCACACAGTCACAGCCACCCTGCAGACACACACTTAGACTCACACATTCAAGAACATCACTGGGAAATGAAAGCACTTGAAAGTCACTCTTTGCTACATTTCTTGCTTTTCATTTTCTGATTTTGAAAATTCTCTGGGTATGATGACAAAACATTAAGGATCCCAGAATACAAATTTGGACATTTATATTATATAATGGACTCTGATAAACTATATCATAAATTCACAGATGCTTCCCCAAAGTGATATGAAAATAAATACTAAACACAGAATGACACTGTGTAAATACTGCAAAGCTCAAAGAAATACTAATGGCATCCCATGTCTGCAATGTAGTTCATATTAATAAAGTAGACATACATGGAGAAACATGAATAATGAGAAAGATGGTTGATTAGAAGCTGACTGTGTGACCCAGTGAAGAAGAGGCATCAAAGATAAGAAAAAAAGGATACACTCCAAAGAGAGGAAGAGAATAACTTCAGAAATCCACACCAGTCTTGGTAGAGTGTTTGCCTTTCGAGAAAATAATGAGAAAATACAGCAAGGGAGCCAAGTCACACACAGTTCTAGCCATAAAGTTCTCCAGCAGAGACTGGGAAAGCAGACTATGTCTCCAGAAGTCAAGCCTGAAAGCGTTAGTGAAGGAAACTGGAGTCCTACCCTAAGGAAAAGCCCACATCCCTCATGAACCTCAAAACCCATTGCAAGTTTTCTTGAGAGGGTAACTCCTCTAACAGATGAGCTGGCAGTAGGGGAACCCAGATCTGACATTCTGTGTGACTCAGAGGGCAGGGGCCAGGTGCCATTTTGAGAGAACATCTATCACTTAAAATAGAGCTACTTTGAAGTCGGATAATGGGGAAAGTCCAACCAGAAGACTGGCAGCTTTCACTTAATCTGCCACAGCTCCAGGGTGGGAGGCAGCCCTTTAGGGTTAGTGTGGAAAGCCAGAAGGCCAGACTTGGACAAACATAATGTGCAGACACCAGGAAGCTCTACCCAGGCTGTAAAGTGCAGAGGGAAAGTATTTAGCCTGGAGCAGCACCAAGGAGTCACATAAGCAGGTGGATCAACTTCTGGGTCCACTCACTGTGGAGACTGAGGACTTGGAAACTCCAGAGGTCTATAGGACAGCTATAGTTTCACACCCCTGGAAGCCTTATTAGTAATTAGGAGGTCTTGAAAGTATGAAGGTGTTTCCTCTGCCTTTTCAAATTTCAGTGTAATAACTGCCTTCTTTACTCCCAACATGTTTGGGAGGTCCTCTCCCATCCCTCTGCTATATTAGCCACACAAGAGAGTACTGGAGTCTTGGATGTGTGAGCAAACCTGCTCATCCCAGAGACTGTGGAGCCAAGTGTGGCCAAAAGAGGTTTCTAGAATTCATCTGAACTTTTTCATTCTGTGCCTATAATCAGCAATGTACAAATTTCAAGGACATAGAAAATCTTCCTTCTCACTTTTCCTCCTGTTGTGTACTCCCCTTCTTTTTCTAATATTACACGACTACTACTTTTAGCAGAACTCTTACTTTATTGTATTTAAGACAGGTAAAAAAGTGGATGCAGTGGTGCTTTCTTGGAATCCCACTGCTGAAGACAAACAGATCCCTGGAGCTCACTAGCCAGCTAAGCTAGTCTGGTATTGAGCCCCATGCCCCAATGAGAGATCTTATGTAGAAAACAGGTAGAGAGCTCCTGAGGAATGCCATTCCAGGTTGACTTCCAGCCACATGCACCCCCACATATGTTCTTATCCACTCAGACTAGCTAAGCTGGCTATTGAGTCCCAGGAATATGTGTCTCCTCCTTCGTAATGGGATTACAAGAAGATATGGAACAATAATTGTAGGCTCTCACAGCAAATAACTGCTGATCAACATTTCTACACCAGGCAAAGCTATGCTTTAAAGTTGATATAGAAATAACACTATTTGAAAACAATCACAGATTAATGCAGTTCAGGAAAAATAAGACAAAACTGCAGAAAATAGGGCGACATGACATTATATCACAAAGAGGAAGAATTAATCTCAAGAACACAAGGAATAATGAGAAAAAAGAATGAACAAGGGACAGTTAGGAAAAAAATACATCACATCCAGCATAGTAAACTGCCAAATCCCTGATACTAATGGAAGAGAAAGAAAAAGAACAAAAAGTAATCCATCCTACCAGAAAAACAGCCCCAAAAAGCACAGGACCTAGTACACATCTCTAAAATACAACATGAATTGAAAACGGCCACAACTTATCAGAAAGACTCAGATTAGATGACTTTATTAAAAATTAAATCCAATTATTAAAAACACATCTTATTGGTAAATATAGCTACAAACTTATAGTCAAAGAGTGGAAGACAAGCTATCAAGTATATGGAAACTGATAAAGTAGATTCCAAGATAAACCTACTTAGAAGAGATCAAGAAGGCCCGAGAGTGTTAATTAAAGGAATAATTCACAAGAAGATGTAATAATAGTATGCTTGGATGTTGGGACTCCAAATTTCATAAAGCAAACAGTAATCTGTGTGAAATAGTGTGAAGTCCTGATACAACATTAATGGGTGACTTCAGTACCTCAGTTTGATCTTTAAATAGGTCATCCAAACTAACATAAGTAAAGAAAACAGGCTTGACATAAGCTATAGATCAGAGATGGATGTGACATGTATCTACAGAGTATTTCATCTAAGATCCAGAATATACATTCTT